GTCAGGTCTGTGCTAATTGTCTGCTAGCTTAGCGCTACAGTGCCGCCGATTTTTATCGACGGGGGGACGAAATCAGGTCTGTGCTACTTGTCTGCTAGCTTAGCGCTACATTGCCGCCAATTTTTATCGATGGGGGAACGAAGTCAGGTCTGTGCTAATTGTCTGCTAGCTTGGCGCTAAATTGCCGCCAATTTTTATCGACGGGTGGGGGGGGTTCGGTAGGCGGGGCGCTCGGTTGTGTTGACAGGGCGGGGCATCCCGCTTGTATAATGGGGAAACACTGAACTTTTAAATCTGTTCGAACCCAAACAAAGATCTAAAGTTTACTCTCAAACAAAATGATGTTGGCCAGTCTGTGCGTTTTTCTAATCTGAAAGATCAGGATTGTTTTTTTTTCACCACCTCCAGGTTTTACAGTTCTGCTACTTGTCCTCGTCGACATGAATAAATACGGACGAAACGACTCCTTCGACTTCCAGAGTCCAAAACCGAAGCCAAAATGTCCAGTTTACAGACGCTGCTTTTTGGAGGCTCAGGCTGTAACAAGGACGTCGTCCCGACTCGTTAATAGGATGTCCTGGTGTCAATCACAGTTTAACACGACACTGAGTACAATTAAAAATCTATATTTAATCATTTTCTGCATTTATGTAATTCTGTGATCACATAAACATCGAGTACGACCAAAGCGTGACTAAAACTATCAGAAAACGGATTAATCGCTAACACCTCGGATCTAAACCCAGTCAGGTGTTTAAACTCCACCACAGGCTTTTCAAGCTGAAAGAAAAATGTCGCCGTCCGGTTCTGACCCTGTTCGTCTGTTGGGCCGACCTGAAGCTGCTAGATGGTGAAGATGATCATCTCATTGTGAACCAACAGAATCTGATCATTATGATGGAGTGACTGGAGACGGGGGGAAACTGAAAACGTTATTTTAGCAATATTTTCAGGATAATCTGTGATTTTAGGGAGGAAACAGGAAGTGGCGGACCGCCCGCTTCCGTTTGTCCTCCTGTTTATATTCACAACGTCTTAAGGTTCTTTCTTTGTATATTTATTTTGATGAAAAATGAGTTTGATTTGTAATTATGTTGTTTTTTTCATTGTTTTTTGTATGACCTCGTTCATTTTGTGGACAATGATGCTATTTATTTTCTATTTGATCAGGAAGTGTAACCGGGTCGTGTGTGTGTGTGTGTTGTGTTGATGAGTGGGAATGACAGAAAGAGAGGAAACATTTATCTCTCTGCTTCTTTTTCTCTCTCCCTCTTGAGGGACGGGGTTTGAATTCGAATGTAAAATGTAATTGATTGTTTATTTGTTTGTTTTATGCTGAAAACGCAGAGCTACCTGTCGGCTGCTTCGTCACAAACCTTCAGTTTTTCTTAACGCTCGCCTCAGATCACGCCTGAATCGACAAAGTTTCAAAAATGTTTTTTATTTTGTGTCGTAAAGTTTCGACCTTCATCATTGGGTGTGGCTGCAGACGTCATGTCAGTTGAGCGTCCTGGTCCAGTCATTGTTCAGAACCTCGTGGATCCAACCGTTTCAGAGCCTCGTCCTCTCAGGTGACCTGAACCCCAGTCGTATTTAGGCGTTTAACATTTCCACAAAATGGCCGCGCAGAGCCGTTTGTGCTTCTCCTCACTTTATCACAGATGGACCCGTTCACGTCCCGCACAGACGCAAACTTTTAGAGATGAAGCGAGCATCGCAGAACCAAGAGGCATGGAGCAGAACTCGGCTGGGTTGACTTGGAGCGCGAAGCATTACATGAAGGACGGGCTTCTTCGTGTCATTTACAAAACGCCATGACAGTTTAAGCGATCCTCTTTGTGGTTAACTAATATTTTTAACTAAAAAAAAGTTGCTTCACAGTGCGTCGTCTTCGATCCTCCCGCTGTAATAAATCTGTTCGTTGTTGAATCCCGCGGCTGGGTGGTCACACAGATCAGATGTCATCATTTCCTCACATTACTGAGCTGCGGCAGCGGCTTACCTTTTCACAGGGCGACCGTTTCACCTCTGTTGCTACCTGGCTCTGAGGCACACCAGGGGTGGGTTGGCTTCAACCCCCACCTCGCCACTCGGGTCCATTCAGAAGTCTCAAGTCACGGCTTGAGGAGTCGTCTAAAAGATCCCTTTGATTAAGACGCTGGTGAAGATTCTCAGTCATCCAGGACACGGTAAAGTCAAAGACAAAAACAACTGGACTTTAATTGAAGACGTTTAGCTTCACATCCGAGGAGCTTTCTCAACTCAAAGAACAGGGAGTGTGGAGTTCAAGTTGTAAAGCTGAGGTAAGCTAGATACATATGCAGATTGACCTATCACTCCTTACAGTAGGAGTTCGTTAGGGTCTTTGCTAGTCTGACTGGGCCTCTCTGGTTACATGGATGAAGTTCCTGATGGGAGTGGAAAAAAAAGCCCTTAAGACCTCCCTCCATGTCTCTGCTGAGCTCAGCTCCTCTGGTTCACATCTACCTCATGAGCGAACAAGCAGACAACTCGACCACTTTGAACCTAGATACCCAGAATGCAATCCTCTGCTGCGTCATGCCATGAACCTGTCGGCGCTCCTCTTGAAATGCGTTTTGCAAAAGGTGAAATGTGACGTGGCAGAAAAACTGATCCAAACACCAAAGTTCATGCTCAATAATCCAGGTATA